GAAAGAAAATAAAAAACTAATATCTCAACATTATACAAATCAATGAAATCAATAAAACCAACATTGGTATGATCCTTCTGTCTTGGCAATGCTCACACCAACATTAGATCCATGGTTCAAACATTTGATGAAGGAACACATTCAGAAATATTAAGAATATTTAAAAATTCAATATGAATTAATCAAACATAATAGCAGTTTTTCTCATTCAAGAAGTATAATCCCTCCTTTAAGGGACAATTCCGTTTATTTGATGATTTGCAACAATATGAAGAGTCACAAGGTGAATATGAAAAATATTTTTCTTTGCCAACTGCTTCCAGACAAGTAGATCCATTGGTTTGGTGGACTGATAAAAAGGATTAAAAAGGATGAATTTCCTATCATATCAATTCTAGTGAAAAAGTATTTGTGTATTAATACAGCTTCTGTACCTTCTGAACACCTATTCTCTGATGTGGGAAACCACATAACGCCACAAGGAGTAAATTATCCCATGATGTTATTTCTAAAGTATTATTTTTGAAGGTCAACTGATCCTTTGGAGGCATCTGTACATAGAAAACAGAAATTTGATCCATCATTACAAGGACGAAAAGCAGACTTTTCTGTTTATATACCAATTAGAGGTGAAAATTTTTATTTACTTGTATCAGAAACAAGGTCTGCCGATTATATATTATTAAACAAAATCACTTTGGAAAGTTGTGATATGATGAAAATGGGAAATGAAATGAAAGATGTAATCGATAAGTGTATTGATAATGGTGGTGATTTCATACTGCAACTTTTGCTACTCTAATTATTTATAAATTTTGGTTTTTTTATTTACTTAGCATAGAAGAAAAAATAGAAATTAATGATAATGAGATCATAATGGTAATATTAATGTTAACAATGGCTATAGTTATAATGATCTTGATAATGATAGCAATAACAAGTGATGAAGAAGAGAAGGTGGATTTTCTCAAAAGGCTACTACCTGAATTGTCTTTAAAATAGTAAGATGTTTAGATGCATCAACTATGTGTAGAGCAGCACAAGTCAGAAAGAACTGGAGAAATTATGTTGATGGTAATGGATTTACCTGGAAGAAATGTTTGTTAGAAGATGGTTTTAATCTTGAGAAATCAGCAGAAGAACAT